CTGCATTTAGTAATGGAAAAATAGCAGTGCTATCTGGAAGAATCAATAATGGCAAGTTTCCTACTCGCTTATTTGTTGAAATCCATGCTTCACTTAAGCTGCCATACACCAGGAAAACGAGAACATCAACTTCCATTGCAACCAAGTCTGGAATGAGAGAAGGGAGATAAAATTACCTAATTACTTGAACAAGTAAGTTCCTAAGGAATAAAAAGATATGCACAAATATTTAAAAAATATTTGAAGTTCAATGCATAATTGATAAACAGTGCATGGTAAAAATTTAAAAGCAGCACAAGTGGTACATCTTTTTATTTCCTTTTAAGTTTCAGTATTTATAATTTAAAGACAGACATTACTGTATAGCCGGTAATTTTCGTGGGTTGCAAAGTTCATGGATTTTGCGGATTCCTTATTGATTCACGAAAATTAATTTAATACGGTACCTGCATGGTACACGTGGTAGAATTCACGAAATTAAAATCCGCGAATTGCATTGTTAGTAGATTTTGCGAAACATAGGACCAAAAATTACCAGCCATACGGTATTATATGTACATGTATTAGAAAAGGCTTACTGATACTGCATTGTGTCCATTCAACAGGTACAATGGATAACAAACAGTAGTCCCCCAACTCAACAGTCAACAATCAAATGATTAACACATGTCAGGCTGAGGTTGTCCTTGCCAGTAGCCAATCTATGATAAAACAGTCAAAAAATTATAGCTACATGTACATGACATCAACTAACTTTCTGTAACACAAGCATCCGTGACTACAAGACGCACCTAAAAGTGTTCAAATTAAGTTGTTAGTACTTGTACTTTACGGTAAATATCCATAAATCCCATTAAAATACACAAATCCCGATATACAAGGGAGTGGTGACCCTGTCCCGTCCAACAAAGATCAGGAAATGGTCCGTCACTACAAGACGCACCTAAAAGTGTTCAAATTAAGTTGGTAGTACTAGTACTTTATCGTAAATATCAATAAATGACTTTACCATTTTAGGTTGTAGACATTGATCCATTCAGTTACTCCTGGCTCACAAGGATGAATTACAATAGCATCATATATCTACATGTACACACAGTATGTTATACAGTTGTATCAATTAAAGATGAAAAATTACTTAATGATCATGTACATGTACATTGTATATCTTGTAAATGCAAATTTCAGGAATTCAAGAAACAAAAGTAGTAAAATTACATACCATACATTTGAAATGGAGAACTACACATCCTGTATGCACATGTACATGTACATAGGTATCAAGCAGGCTTAAATAATTATTTGATTGTGGTCAAATGCTTAAATAGTACTACAATAGAGTACTCGTACTCATACTCAATACAATTTGCAAAAATGAGTGACTTGTACTTGTACTCATTTTAAAATTTTAACAGGTACATGTAATGTACTTAAATACTTCTTAGAGTACATGTACTTTGCCCCAAGCCCGGTAGCAAGTAGAAATTTAGGCAAATAAAATTTTAACAAATTATTGCTATAAACCAAAACCTTAACTTAGGACGTTGGCAGGGTAAAACATTTGTAAAAAATTATTAATTTCCGAACCTTCATTTTTAAAAAGCAACTTGCCCAAATTATCTATTCCAAACTACATGCATCTACTATGTACGACATACATGTTACATGTAGCTACACAACATATCATCATTACCTGCCACGAGTCTCTGTGAACAACAAGAGCTAGTAAGAAGTCTGCAATTAAGTCAATGAGAATGGACTGGAAGACCTAAATAGATCAGTCAACTCCTTTATCTCAATAATAGTGTGAATCAATCATACCTTTAATGTACCATCAACTGTAACGGCTATCTCTGCATCTGTAATGTGAGTAAGAGGAGACAAAAGTGTTAAAAGTGTAAAAACAAACCCAATTTATGGCCTATTAATATTAAATTAGTGTCATGTCTTCAGAAGAATTACTGTACGTGTTATCATTTTGAAAAATGTGATTTAGTATTAACAAAACATACAAAACTACATATTACATGTACATATATGTCTTGGTGTAGCTATTGACAAAAGGTCTCAGAAAAGCTCATAAACATAA